ATAAATATCTAAAATCACTGTTTTTGGTGTGAAAGGGTGGCCCAAAAGGGGGGGTGGCCGAAAAGTAGGGTAGTGGACTTATCATCAAATTTTGCCTGTTCGCTCTTTTTCTGCTTGTTGAGTGTAATAATTTAATTAACTGTATTACGATCTATACGATGTCTTTCCACCTCAAATCGCTTAAACCGTCAAATTAAAATGGAAGCTATCTTTGGCCAAATCAGACAAATCGCCAATACACTTGTTGACACGGCGAAGTCATCCTTAATCCGTGATCTCCATACTTTGGCACATTCACTAGAGAGTGTGGATGACACTGTGAAAAGAATAAGCCACTTGGTAAGTTCTATTGCCTGACTTTAATACGAATTCTAACTTGAAGCGTTTTAGCATGAGGAAGCTGCAGTGATTCGCGTCGGTATCGATCTCAAACTATTCGACATACTGGAGGCTCGCAGAGCTCCACTCAGTCTTGATGAAATTGTCAAAACCACTGGTGGTGATAGCCAACTTATTGGTCAGTCGAAGTCGACCTTGGATCTTTCCATATTATTAACGCAATCATGAATGTTTAGGGAGATTGATGCGTTTTTTAGCTTCAGTCGCTGTAATCGAAGAAACTGGTAAAGATGTTTTCTCTGCCACAAATGTAACCAAGAATTTGGTGGTTGAAGGAAGCCAAGCTGGTGTTTGCCACGGGTATGCCAGAAAAATCCTTCAAATATTGTTTCCGGGCAGAAGGCTGATCAAATATTAGCTTTGAGACTTCAGGACCAATGTATCAAATGCTACCAGAGTTCCTGGAGAAAACGAATTATCAAAACCCAAAAGACTCTTTTCATACAGTCTTTCAAGATGCATTTAATTTTCCCGGGTCAGCTTTCGAATGGTTCGGCCAGAATCCTAAAAACCTTGGATATTACCAAGATTATATGGCTGGTCGTCGTCAAAGTGTACAGGAGATGTGGATGTCAGTTTATCCAATCGAATCCGAGACGAAAGAGCTTGATCCGAAGGCTCCGTTACTTGTTGATATAGGTGGAAATATCGACCATAACTGCGTACACTTCAAGACAATGTTTCCTAATATCCCTGGTAGAATCATTCTTCAAGATCTGCCGGAGAACATAAAAGCCGCTCTTTCAACGCCAGGAGTCGAACCCATGGTTTATAATTTCTTCGAACCACAGCCTATTAAAGGTATGTAAACCATCGAGCAAAAATGTGCATTTGTAACAGCATCTGATGTATGTATTTTAGATGCAAATTATTACTATTTGGCTCATGTTCTTCATGATTGGCCAGATGATAATAGCGGCACAGGATAGCTTAGAGATGCCATGTAACGTAAGAATGAAGAAAGCGTCTTCAGACGCCTAGTCCAGGATAGAATAGTAGCTGCCAGTGTACAACTGGATTTTCTTGGGATAAGAACCTATGCTGCTGTCAAGCTAGTTCGACATATCTTAACCTCTTTCAAAAGAATTATCCTCCACTTGCATTGACTCCACCCTAAGTACCACTGCATTAGTACGCCATGGCCCCGGTCAATATAATACGCATTCTGAGGCTCTGCGCAAGCAGAAACGATGGGCACGGCATCGTCACTTATCCACTTGGGAGCAGAAACAGTGTGAAAACGTTATACAAAGATTTAGAGTTCCAAGTGATCCACAACGCAAGACTCCTTTCACACATCCCCAACTTCAGACCAAAATCAATTGTGCTACTTCATTTCACGGATCACCTTGATAACATCGTCTGGTTTTGGTCCGTAATTGCTGCAGGAGGCATTCCTGCACTATCAACACCATTCAGCAATGTTGAAACCCAGCGTCTGAAACATATTGCGCATTTATACAATCTCTTGAAGGCTCCCCTCTGCATGACCAGACGTTCCTTGCTAGATCAGTTCTCGGATCAGGATGTACTGAGCCCATACGTTATCGGGGACATCTCCTCCGCTCAAGTCATTTCACAAAATGGTACTATAGACGAACTTGGTCGAGTTGCAAGAGAAGAGCATCCAGAAGACTTAGCTCTATTGATGCTTACCTCTGGCAGCACGGGAAACGCAAAAGCCGTCTGCTTGACTCATGGCCAAATTTTTGCCTCAATGGCTGGAAAGTCTTCAGTTCGGAAGGATATCCCCAAGGAATTCTCGGCCCTGAACTGGATAGGCTTTGACTATGTCGCCAACTTGACCGAAATACACCTTGAAGCCATGTACCTTGGTATAGACCAAATTCACGTACAGGCTCCAGATGTCATTTCTAACCCTCTGCTTTTCCTGGAGCTCATACATAAGCATCGTGTGGGATGGACATTTGCACCGAATTTCTTCTTGGGAAAATTGAGGAAACAGCTAGACACAGCTATTATGGACACGAATCTCGACCTAGACTTAAGCTGTCTCCGCTTTTTGGTTTCCGGTGGCGAGGCAAATGTCGTAGAGACATGTGACATTCTCGCCCGTTATCTAGGAAAATACGGAGCACCACCAAATGTGATCTCTGCAGCCTTGTAAGTTAGATCTCAACTTGTTCTTGGGCTCAAATACCACTGGAAGAACACCACTAAGCTAATAATGCCACAGTGGTATGACAGAAACCTGCGCTGGGTCTATCTATAATCTCGATTGCCCGAGATACAATGTTCAGAATATGCAGCAGTTCTGTTCTCTTGGCCGTTGCGTACCAGGAATAGAGATGCGAGTTACAATCCCTCAGGCTGGCGATGAAAGTGTCCAGGCCTCAGCCAACGAACTTGGCCTTCTTGAAGTTCGTGGACCTATCGTATTCAAGTGCTATTTCAACAATAAGTCCGCCACAACAGCTTCCTTCACTCCAGATGGCTGGTTTAGAACAGGAGATCACACCACGATCGATCGAGCTGGAATGCTCCATCTGGTAGGGAGGACAAACGATACCATGAACATCAATGGTGTTAAGTATCTCCCGAACGAGCTAGAGGCTGCCATCGAAGAGTAAGTACTGTTTCATATTACATCTGCCAATCATGATCTGTTCAGCTCTCATTAAGCTAGATAAAGATTGAAGCTGACTTTGCGAAAATGAAGGTTTGAAATTGAGGGTGTGACACCGAGTTACACGGTATGCTTTTCCTTCCGTCCACTTGGTGCGGAATCAGAGCAAATCGAAGTTGACACATTTGGAATTAGGTAGTATGGTCGTTTGTGGATAAGAGGCTTATACAGTATAAGCCCTTGACCCTGAAACCGAGATATTACTTCTTATGAATCGATCACGCTCCTGAAAAGCTACTCAGAAATGGTATGCTAACTTTGTGATACCGCAGGTTGGCGAAGTTCTCGTATTTCTCAATCTCGCAAAATATCTCCCAGATCGTCCTGTATTTGCTCTTCGTGCTCGAGGCTTCGAAAAGGGGGAAACATTTTTCACAGATATTAAAGAAGCAGTAAACATATATTTCGAAGCCATAAAGAGCAAGCAATCGCAAGGCCCATATCTTCTCGCAGGTTATTCGTATGGCACAATGCTCGCATTCGAAACCGCGAAACTGCTAGAAGCAAGCGGTGATGAGATTTCCTTCCTCGGATCCTTCAACCTGCCCCCACATATCAAATCCAGAATGAAACAACTTGATTGGACCGAATGCTTGCTGCATCTGGCCTACTTCCTTAGTCTCATCAATGTCAAACATTGCGAAATAATGGCACCACAGCTCCGACAATATTCCAAAAAGCAAGCCATCCAATACATCAGCGAAGTCGCAAACCCAAATCGTCTTCTTGAGCTTTCACTCAATGAAGAGATGCTCGGAAATTGGGTCGACCTTTCATACAGGCTGCAGAGCATGACAAGTAACTACGACCCCTCGGGAACAGTTGCGATGATAGATATATTTGTTGCAGAGCCTTTGCAGGCCGTGGCAGCGAATAAAGAGGATTGGAGAAAAAATTCCTTAAGCAAATGGGCGGACTTTAGCAGATCGAAACCTAGATTTCATGATGTAATGGGGGAGCATTATACAATGATTGGCGCGGACCATGCTTTCAGTTTCCAGCAAACTTTCCGTAAGGCATTGGAAGCAAGGGGATGTTGAAATTGTTGTAGGAGATAATAATATTATGCATATCTACTGTAGGTAGCAGTATTTGGGTATTTGGAATAGTGGAGGCAATATACTATGGACGGGGCCCCTAATTGTTAGAGAGCACGTGCATATTCACTAGTGCATGCGCTAGTACATACATTATCTCATCCTCAGACCCTTCTCTTCGTGATTACATAAGCATAAAAACCTATAAACTATTGCACAGGGAGAAGCCTCGCCACTCCAATTCAGAAAAAAGGCGCGCAAGCAGACTGTGGAGCGGGGGTTGCCTCCTCGTCTTGGTCTGCCTTTAATCCAGCCGAGCGCTCTCCCGACACTGAAGCTGCGACGAGCAGCATGACTGTAACATACAATAGGTTCAAGATATGAGGTGTGTAAAAGGATGGATTCTGAAAGCTAGCTCGAGGCCGACAGGAAGATATAACCCTGTCAACTAACTAAAAGGTGGGGTTCATCATGTGACCTTATCAAGAATGTAACAAACTGCCCCCTGCAGAGACAGATGGCTGTCGTTCTCGACACTATGTAAAGAAAATAACTAAATCACATTCAAGGTATTATATGACAGACCAACCATTTGATCCTCATACTCCTTGATCAACTCATTCGAGATGTCCTTAATATTAATCCATTGATTCCATTCTTGTCCCCAACCAAGCCATTTGATCAGGTAATTAGTACACCAGCCTTTACCCGCTTTGTATTTCTTTTTATCTAATATCTTTTCAACCTCCCAAATCTGCTGGTCTGGATCAACAAGCTTGTGGTTGAGTGGGGATAGGCCTTGATTCTTTGCTTAGTGGATAGACGTGAGCACCCTTGGTAGGTAGCTTTTCCTGCCAGTTCTCTTTTAAGCGAATGGTCATCCAGTCTTCCTCCGGGATATCAACAAGTGTTCCGTTGTCACGAAAAATTTCCGGATAAGCATCAATGACTTTCAGAAAAGCTAAGACATCTTCCTCATCCGACTTACTGTAAACTCTTACGCTGATAGGATGAGTGGTTTCAGATAACATTGGGTCATTAGCTTCCGAGGGAACAGTGGATGGTTGGACAAAAATATCCGGTATTGGTTTGGGTTGAGCATCCAGGTCAGGGAAAAAGGAGCTCTATCTCTTTGAAGGTACTGAATCAGGTGTAACTGAAGGACGAATAGGAGCTTCAACGGTTGAAAAGGTAGCAGACGCCGCAGTAGTATTAGGAGACACTGTTGTCTTGACTGTAGAACTAGTCAAAGCCGTATATGCGGCAACAGTAGTGGCTAACGCTTTCTTAAAGAAATTTATCTTTCTGCGTCTATGGGTGCGCTCAGCAAGTGCGGTCAGGTCTTCTTCCGCTTAAGAATGCAGACACTGCCAAAGCATATTCACCAGTTAATTCATGAAGATGGCCCACTCGTTGGCCTCGAGTTAGTTTAACGTACTGAGGTGAATCATTCTTAACCAAAATACCAGTAGTGTCCTGGGAGACAAGGAATACGAAAAGGGAGACATGATCTGATTGTTCGGGTTCAAAGAAAAGATCCCTGTCCTTAGAAATCTTGTGTATAGGGACAACCATGGAACTATGTGGAGGAACTATCATCGTCTTCTTAAAATGTACCAGTTGAGCCTTAACCGCAGAGCCTTGTCGAACATGAACCTGCATAGGCACTTCAACTCCGCAAGAGTTAACTAACAACTGCTTCTTTGAATAGATCAAATCACATTTCTCCGGATATAAAATATCGTTACCGACCAACGTGTTAGCTTGGAGGTCGTCGACAAGATGAAATTCACGAGTAAAAACAGCATCAGCTGGAACCCCAGTCTTGGTATCCTTTCCGGGAACACATAACTCTAGGAGTACATAGTCAGAAGTAGTATACTTATTATTGGCGATGCCTCTGACAATTAATGGTTTGGCAGCTGTACGAATCTGCTAGTTTGGAAGGTTCTTCTTCAAGAATTAGCGATCAATAAGAGACGCGGAGCATCCCGAGTCCCAACAAATAGAAACAGGTTGAGCTGTAGCAGACAGCTTTACCTGAATAGTGGTATAGGTATATCCTCGATAACCAATACCTGAACCCACCTCGAACTGTGGAGTGGCGGATCTCTTCTCAATTGGTTCAGGAGTGACGCTAGGCGTTGGAGCAGTTCGAGTGGAGAAGCGAGTAGTGAAATTTGTCAACTCAGCCTGTTGAGAAGCTGTTGACTTAAATGATCGAGACTGTTTATGACCTCTTTCCGTCAAATGAGTGAAAAGTTTATTCCGGGAAGAAAATTCTTCTCTGCAGACTTTACAAATGTGCATTTTAGGTTTGCTCTTAGCTGGGGTCATGTGGGTAGCAGAAGTAAAATAACTAAAGCCTTCTCGTTCAGGGTCATAGCCGAGTTGGTATCCAAAGCCTTGTTGGTCGTCACAGCCAGCCTGGTAACCATCAGTAATATCTTCCACCATGTAGGTAGGCTAGACCATAAAATCGGGTTGGCCCGTATTAACTGGGTTAGATGATGAGGTATCAGTATCAGCTGGTTTTGTTCCCGGCGCGAAATTTACTGCTTTAGACTCTCCGGTTGAGGTAGCACTCACTATCTGCCAAGTTAGCAGAGGCTGGTGCTCCTAGAAGTCTTTGACTCTGCCTGTTCTGCCAAGGTTGCTGAGCTTGATTAGGCTTATTGCCCCAATGTTGTTGATTCTGGTTGGCTCTATTGCCCTCGATTGCTCGTTGCTGTGGCATGTTGGACGGCGAGTTGGGAGAGAAAGTTCCTTGTAGTTGAGAATATTTCTGTCGATAAGGGTTGTTCTGATTTGGCCAATTGTTAGAGCGATTGTTACGGAAGTTTGCGTTTTCCGCGTTGCGATTGTAAGGGTTGTAGGAGTTGTTTCCAGCGTTGGGACCACGAGCAGCAAAAGTGTTGTTGAAGTTGGGTCGAGGATAGTAATTGTCCTGATTATTTGGTTGATAAGGATTGTTTGGGTTGAAAGCATTTGGTCCGTTCGGGCCGATGTAAAACCCTGCCTTACTCATTTGTCGTTGAAGTTGGTTAAAAGCATCCAAAACCGTCTTTTGATTTCTGTTCAGAAAAGGTGGATACTTCTCAAACCAATTCGGCTGCCAAGCTCTCACTTCCTTAGTGAAGTCTTCCACGGTCTTCTCAGGTGGAGCTCTGGTATATTTTCTCGAAGAACTATGTCAATCTGACGCCAAGCATGTAAAACGATTGATGCTGGAGTGTCATGAGCGCCGCCAATGGCTTTGGAAGCTGCTTGAATTTGTCCAATGTAGTCTGCTATATCCTTTCGTTCTCGACATTCATTGATACCATATTGTGTTCTGTATAGCGCTGCGAAGGACTCGGAAGGTGGTGGCCTAAAGCGCTCATTGAGTGCTTTAACTAATTCTTTCTCATCCACACTTTTGAGGATTCCGGTTCGAGTGACGTTCTGTAAAGTCTGATCCCACCAGATACGAGCTGCTCCCATTAACGATGGATCGATAACGTCAGAAACGGCTGGCCATTTCTTCAAAGCAACTAAATTTTGTACCCGGTTAGTGAAACTAGCTGCGGAACGGTAATATTGTTGACCATTGTATGTAATAATTGCTTCTTCACCCCAATTAAGTGGTGCATCTGGATAAAAATATCCCAGATCTGAAACTTTCAATTTTCTTGACTCAGTTGCGCCTTGCATCCGATTAAAGAAGGCATTGACAAAGTCATCGGAGTTGATGCCTTGAGGGGGACTATCGTCGGGCATTTTGATGATGGTTGACTCAGAATCCGAGTGAGAGTGTAGAGATGGTCTGACTGTACTTCTGGTTGGGAAGCTACAGAGTTATCTGGAGCGGAACTAGACGTAGCGGAAGCGGCAGAGGGATCTTTGTGGGAGGTAGGGTTCTCTTCTGATGACTCTATACCTTGAGAATATGCTTGTTCCAAATTCACAATCAAACTCTCGATGTCGTGACGAGTCTTGTCAAGGAAATTATAAGTTGTCTTCTCGTGTGTAGCCAAGAATCGGTTGATAGCGCTGATTAACTTTGTCTTTGATTCGCGCCACTCGATTGGAATTTCGTCGTCAAACTGAGAATCCGATTCAGGCAATAATTCGTTTTGCTCGTAATAAAGAAGGGGTTTTATGAAGCGAAGAGAGAAACAACTCCCGTACGTTTCCACAGCACCCTCTGCTGTAGAATAAAGGAAAGGGGTTTATGAAACAAAGAAAGAAACAATCCCCGTACGTTTCTACAGCATCCTCTGCAGTAGAATAAAGGATTGTATATATAGATCGTTTCTATCCTCCTTCTCTTCCTCCCTCATCACTTGCAGTTGAAGAACGATTCTTTTCTCCCGCTCTCCTTAGACTAGTTTTTAGATAGATTTATCGGCAGGTAGTTCAGTCCTTTTAACCCTCCGGGGCTTTTCTCCTACAGAAGAAGCTTTTGCAAAGGGTACGAAGCATCTGTTCTATTAAGCTGAACCTCCAAATACGAAGCTATTCCCAGTATTCAAACATTGCATATGGAAGTGATGAGCAGTTAATAAAAATAATAATAAAATATTCCTTTTTTCTTCTTTCTAGACGCAGCGATTATCGCTTTGCAAACGTAAACATAATTATAAATCCTTCATCCACCCTCCTAACCCACTCAAGAATTTCTCAACCCTCAAGTCAAGGCATCCACGACTGTATGAGTCTCCAATATCAAGAACATCAGCAAATTAAACCTGAGCCATTTCGTTATTAGAAAGGGAAACCGATAAATAGAGTGAAGTGATGAACATAAGAGCAGAATTATGGGGTTTGATAAGATTCTGTTGCAAGCCCAATAAACCAATTAAGTTCTGGTACGTAGTTTGACAAATTTCTGGCGGGAGTGACTACACTAGCAAAACTTGAGTTCTTATCAAAAGGTTGAAGTTGAACTCCAGCAAATCGATCTGCAATCCAATCCATCCATAGTCTTTGAGAGCCTGTAACAGCAGGGGTATGTGAGGTCCCTGGGAGGCGGAAAAGTTGAACATGAGATGTAGGAGAGAGATCAAGTGCAGCCCCAATTTCTTTCATCGTGTTATTATAGTTGACCATTGGATCATTGTCGCCTTGGATTACAAGAAGAGGTCCAGAAATCTTTCGTCCACCGTTCGCAGTCAGATTGTCGTATTTCAAAAGCCATTCATTAGATGCCCAGTCTGGTTTTAGTAAGTTGCCAGCAAGCGTGAGTAATATTGGTATGGTTGTAGAAGAGGCGCAATCAAGCTTGACGATTTTGTTGAACAGCTCTAGGCCTTCAGGCGTAAAGAATTCATTGTAGTCGAATTCCGGATACAACGCCGCAATTCCGGGAGCCATGGTTGCAGCTATCAGGCTTTCGAAGGGCTCGGGGTTATCGAGAACACTCGTGGCTGGAGAGATGGCGATGGCACTGAGATAACCCGGAATATTCGATACAGCATGTTTCTGGGCGACACCCCAAGCAGCGCCCCCTCCTTGACTATGTCCAAGCACAACGAACGACTCAGAAAGTTGAGGAAAAGCTTTTCTTGCAGCTTGAACAGAATAGACAACGTCGGTAGCTACACTAGAAGAGGCAAAAAAATCGTGGGCAATCGACTGGTTATTCTGGTCTTTACCAACACCCAAACCAGCATAATCCGCGGCTACTACGACGTAACCCTGAAGAACCAATTGGTAGGGAGCGATAAAATGGTTCCAGAAATTTTTAATTTTGGATGGGGCAGTCGAGACTGTTGTTCCTGATGTGCCATGAGCCCAGGCAACAACTTGGTTTCCGCCGTTCGCATCCAGACGAGGCATATAAGGCCACAAGACATAGCCAGAAACAGGACGACGTTCTCCAGATAGACTCTCCGATACATAGATGAATCGCGATACCGCAGTATTAGGTGGAAGAGTATAGTTCTGTGGCGAGTTTGCATCTTCTTGCACTTTGATCGGTGTTCCCGGTTGAGCAGATGTCATGTCTATTCCAGATACCGAGCAAAATGCGGCATCCTCTTCAGCGCTGTGTGCCCATAAAGAGCGTTCGTATTGAATGGCATCAGAGACATTTTGGGGGAACTCCCGATAGAAGTGATTCGGACATACTGTTCACCTTTGCAATAATAAAGGATAGTAACAGTGTGAACAAAAAAGATGATGAAGGGAAGAGGTATTTCATTTGGCGGGAAGAACCTTAAAGATTCGGAAACTCAATAGTAGTAAATTGTTAGGTCCATTGGTATCTAATTGGTACTAGCGTCTTACTAAGATTCTAGAATACATTCTACCGAAGTCTTCTATATGCAATATAAACAAATAAGATTATATGATAATATGTTGAGGCTAAAAGGAAGAGGCATAGCAAATACTATATTACACTATGAAACACGTATTAGGTATATAGCGCGAGAAATGGCTCACACCCACTTACTTTTTATATCTATACATCCGTGGACATCCTACACATCTACTGCAATACAGCACAGATGGAGAGAGTCCGGTGAATCTAAACAATGTACTCTGGAATTACTCGGTGAGAGAGTCTCATTATTTGTCACGGGTTCACTACCCGTTCCTACCTACACCTACCTACACCTACCTACACCCATCATATGTCCACCACCCATTCTTAATTAGCTTGGGTGAATGCCTTAGGTGAATGCCTTAGGCATCCACCCACTATATAGTCAACATTACTCCACACACCTCCTTTTCTCTTTATCGAATATTATATATTATACCTAGTACCCACCAAAACCTATACCAGCCCTATAATAATATATTTGATTTTTCAAAAGGTTCTACTACTAATCAATCCAATCTTGATTTTTTTATCTTACAAAAAACTTGCGGAATTATTGTTTACTATATATGTCACCGCGTAGAGACTAATCCCCTTCCGGGGACTAGCCGGAAAAGCGTGGATATGAAAGGATACGGAGTATCCTTTCATATCCTTTGTTCTTTATTAGTTAGTTTGTACTGAAATCTATAAAAAACTACCCTCATATCACCCTGGCAGTGGTATGAGTTCAGTTCTGTATAAACTATACCCTAACTGTAGTACTGATACTATCCGGCCTATTCCCTGCTTGTGATCCCTCATAACAAGTAATAAAAACAGTTTTCTATTTGTTATCTTTAGTAATATAGAGTTTATTGAAAATAGTGATAATATCAAGTTTTATATAAATCTTAGTATTGTATAATATATCCAGTGTTTTTTATATAATAAGTAAAGGGTATCGGTTTTTGATTATTATATTATTTAATCCCCAATAATTTTGATAAATATAAATATAAATATCTAATT